TACCAGTCTCTGTTCTAAGTTCTCTGATGGTACTGATTCATTCTCTGCTCTGTCATAAATGCTTTCATTCCTGTTTCTACTATAGACATAAGAAACAGTGTGAGGACCTTATTCCTTTATCCTCACACTATTTTTCAGTTTAAATTTCCAAGACAAGGGCTCATTGAGTAGCTCCATGTCAAAGGCCATTAGCTATGTCAACACACGTCATAGGTCACTAGCCATGCTATGGATTGACCTAAATCCAGCTGTGGTCAGGTTAGCAGAACACAGCTCCCTAGTCTGTACTGTGGTAGTCCTACGTCTTGGCTGACATAGTGGTATGTCTTTCAGATTATATCATGCAAGCAGGCCTTTCCGTATTTCCTTTAATGTCTACTCCTGGAAATGATTCCCATGTCTACTTTGGGGTTCTGAATATGAACTTCAATAAGGTTTCCTGCCATAAGAGATATAGGTGAATTCATATGAGATCAGAGATTTTTGCCATATTAATGCAACTAAAAATATTTCTAAAAGTTCGCTAGATTTGCTGGATAGTCAAACTTAACCCATGAGCATCATCTAGTTGGCCTATCAAAGACTAAGCTTTCAGGTTAAACAAAGACTGGGACTGATACTAAGCGTAAGTAGTTGAAGTAATACAGGGAAATGAAAACATCTAATTGATATAACATATGCTGAAAATAGATGGTATTTACAGACAAAGTATTAAGAGTCTTTGCAATCATCTTCTGTTATGCCTTATATCTAAATGTTCTCACAAAGCCTCACGTGATCGTAGGTGAGGAGTTTTGAAGATGGCTGGATTATGGTGTGTGAAGGTGGATTAAGAGTGCGATACTTGGGTTATTGTGGGAAGCCCCATGCTGGCCCTGGGAGGGCACCAATCAATAGACTTGTAGCCTTTTTGTCTCCTGACAGAAAGGTCAGCTTTTGCTGCTTGCTGCTTTGCTGCCTTTTGCCTGGCTTGCCTCAACCATTTCTTCTCTGCGAAGCCCCTGTACCATGCCACCCTGCTTTGGAACCAACTGACTATGGCTTGAAACCTCTATAAACTGTAAGCTGAAATAAATGTTTCCTTCTTCAACTTTGGGTGTCGGGTATTTTGTTTCAGCAATGAGAAAAGTAACTGAGACATCTTCTGAAAGAAAAGATTTTTCTGCATGTCTGTGACAGAGGAACTTCATTGTTTGATCTGAGAGCATTCTATTTATCTGCGGTATATGTAGAAAAGGCGCTGGAGTTCAGCATCTATCACTGAGTGTCTCCAGTGTGTATGTGTGTGACACTTACAAATTTTAAGCTGTTGGTATTATGTATGTTTTTGGAAGTGCTATACAAAGGAAAAAACAAATGTTGAGGGACTCTTAAAAACACCCGGATATTTAAGACCATAAAGAATTGTTTTCACCGATCTTTGACTTCCTTGTTAAAGATCTCTCTGCTTGTTTTTGGCTTTCATTGTTCTTTTAGAGGACACCATTTATTGAAGAGCTTGAATGCTAAAACATCGGAGTGCTTCAGTGTGGTTTTTATTGGGTCAGGAAACTGGCAGAAATGATGCAGATATTGTGTAGAAGACCTCATGTGGCTGTCTTTACATTTTACATTTTATGAAAATTCTTAGGAGCTATGAGGAACATAAAAAATAGAAGGAAAGCTTTGAGAAATCATTAAGCAAATACTGATGCAGAAGATTCTTACACTATAGTGTACCTAAGTTATTTGTGCCCTTTATCTCCTTACAGGATGCAGAGACCCTTGAGTGTTATATTTGAATCATTTTCTTAACGCCCCTAGTACTTTATAGTACCCAATAATCATTGTGCTGAAATGGAATTTCATTTAAAGCCAAAATTTCACTGCTTGAAGAAAACTAAAATCCCATCAGCCCAGAAATGTGAAATAGCACTAATTAAAATAGTTTGGATATAATGGAATTGCAATGGTGAACTCCTACCATCTTGTCTAGTGAAACTCTGTATTATATCTAAGGTCTTACTGAAGAATTATTTTCTTATTCTCTTTAATGGTTTGAGCAATCTTTCATTCTTACATCTGATAATCTGAGCAATGTAGTTGAGGATAGCGATATGCAATGTAACAACCACTGTTGATTTATATTAATTTGTCTTGAGACCCGGTATCACTTTGAATGTTCTTGCTTTGATTTGTTTATGTTTGTGATACTGGTATGCTGCTACTGTTCTATTTTTTGTTTGTTTGTGTCTCATGTACTACTCTCTTTAAAATTAAGAAAAATTAAAAAAATAAAATAGTTTGGGTGAAAGCCTATCTTATAGTGTGTCAAGCTCCCATTGTGTTAGTGTATCATTATTCTGTTATTCATATGGAACCTTTCCGTGTGAAGGGATATCTCAGCCAGAACTTTCTAGAAGATGTTTTTGAAACAGTCTACTATCAAAACATAACCTGAGTGCAGGTCACCATATAAATTTTCTGGATAGAAGAGAAATAAACTGATAGAACCCAGTTAAAACGTCACATACCATTTTCTATCATTCTCTCTTCTCTTTTTTATCTTCTCTGGGAGCTGCTTTCCCCCAGAAAAGACGTTATCTTTGTAATCTGTTTTTACACACCCTCCAGTTACTTGTTTCAGACCTTCAGAAAGTATGTGGTATTTTAAAATCTGCTGATACTAAAGCAAGGAATTAGGTGAAGAACAGTTCAAATGAAGGCACTTAAAAGCACTAATGGAAAGAAGGAAAGGACCTTTTGGCTTTGGCAATAATGTAAAGTAGTAATCAATATTACATCATTTAAAAAATATATGCTATTACTATTGAACAATACTTTTCCTTTTGTGTCTGATTTCATTTATCATAGCTTCTCATGAAGTTGATAAGATCAGATAATCTTGATTTAGAAATAACAAGGGGAGAAATGAAAGCAGAGTGAAAGTAACTCATTTTGTACAGCATCACTCTTGTCTTAAATTAAAATGTGAGACTTCTGCTCTGTGCAGTAAAGATCAGAGTTTGAAATGAAACCAATAGAACAGAGGCACAGTATGTTAATACCAGAATCAGTTTTAGAATAGAAGAAAAGATACTCAGAAAAATAAGAAGCACGGTAATTAACATATGCATCTGCTTTCCTCAAGGGCGATTTGATAATCATTAGCCTAAAATCTAACATAAAGTTGGGCAAGACTGTTGGTCCTGGGAGTTGTTACCATTGGAATGATTTACTGAAGTTCTTGGTAGATGTTCCTTAAATGAAAGGCCCCAAAGAACAGACTTGCATCAGGTGTTATGACCCAGAGATTGTCCCTAAGTGTGAAATGGATAAATCAACTTACATTCTCAGTGACTCTTCTGAGTGTAAGCATCCATGATAGGAGCACTGATATTTCCTGGTATTGTCTTTGGTTACTTTTTTAGTATAAAAATTTTAAGATATAATTCACACACCGTGAAATTCACCCACTTAAAATGCATGGTTTTAGTACATTAACAAAGTTGGGTAACCATCACAATTATAGAACATTTACAACACTCCCAGTCCCCCAGACAAACCCTATAGCTGTTAAAACAGTCACTCTTATTTCCTCCCAAACACCCTCAAATCAGGCTTAATACAACCACTAATCTACTTTCTCTCTATATAGATTTTCCTAGACATTTAATGTAAATACAATCAGACAATATACAGTCTTTTGTGACTGACTTCTTTTACTAGCATATGTTTTCAAGGTTCATCCACACGATAGCATATATCAGTACCTCATTCTCCTTATTGCTAAATAATATTCCATTGTGTGGCTGTCTTGCATTTTATATATTAATTCATCAACTGATAGATATTTGGGTTGTTTCCAGTTTTTGTCTATAGTGAATAATGTTGGGGTTGGTGCAGCGCTGTTTATGCGGACATAGGTTTTCATTTCTCTTGGTATATATCTAAGAGTAGAATTGCTGGGTCATAAGATAGGTTGGTGTTCAATCTTTTGAGGAAGAGTTAGACAGTTCTCCTAAGCAGCTGGGGCATTTTACATTTCCACTATCAGCATGTAAAGTTTTCATTCCCCATTTAGAAAATAAGAAATACTCTCACCGACACTTACTCTCTTTTTGAGTATAACCATCTTGGTAGGTTTGAAGGGCTATGTGATTGTGGATGTGATTTACATTTCACTGATGGCTAATTATGTTGAGCAACTTTTCATGTACTTATTGATCTTTTAATACTCTCTTTGGAGAAATGCTTATTATCCTTTATCCATTAAAAATTGAATGATTTTTCTTTTTATTGAGTTATAAGAGACCTTATATATTCTATATTCTAGATACAAATCCTTTATCAGATATATGACTTAAAAATATTTTCTTTCATCCTGTGTGTTGCCTTTGTGGTGTCCTTAGAAGCACAAAATTTCTTAATTTTGATGAAGTCTAGTTTATCTATTTTTTCTTTTCTTGCCTTTTGTTTTTGTGCTATAGCTAAAAACATATTGCTTGAGCTAATGTCACTAGATTATACTTGTTTTCTTCTAAGGGTTTGATGATTTTTTTTAGATTTATATCTTAGGTCCATCCTGAGTTAATTTTTTTTTTTTTTTCCGGTACTGGGAATTGAACTCACGACCTCACGCTTGCCAGGCAGATGCTGTGCCGCTGAGCTAAATCCCCAGCACCTCTGAGTTAATTTTTGCATATGTATAATTTTGTGTATGGTATATGGTAGTGATCCAACCTAATTATTTTGCATATGTATATTTAGTTGTCCCAGCACAATTTATTGAAATACTCTTTCTCCCCCTTGAAGTTATCTTAACAGTCTTTTGAAAGTCATCTAATAAGAAAGATGAGTATTTATTTCTAGAGTCCTGAGTCTCGTCCAGGGACGTATATGGCCAGTATTACATGGGTACCACATGTTCTTGGTCACTGTAACTATGTAGTGAGTTTTGAAACCAGGAAGTATGACTCCTTCAACTTTGTGCCTCTTCTGTTGAAATTGTTTCAGTTATTCTGAGTCCCTCGCATCTTCATATTATGATCAATTTGTAGATTTCTTCAATAAAGCTATCTGGGATTTTTTATGAGGTTTGTATTGAATTTGTAACTCAGTTTGGGCACTATTAGCATGGTACCAATGAGTCTCTGATCACAGAGCATAGATATCTTTTAATTTGTTTGGGCCTCTAAAAATCTCTTTCACCAGGGGCTGGGGATTTAGCTCAGTGGCAAAGTGCCTGCCTGGCAAGCGCAAGGTCGTGAGTTCGGTTCCAGGTACTGGAGAAAAACCAAAAAAAATCTCTTTCACCAATTTTTTTTTTCTTTTCTTTTTTTTTTAGCCTGAAGAGTGTAAGTTTGGTACTTCTTTTGTTAAATTTATTCTTAAGTATTTTATTCTTTTGGATGTTATAAATGGAGTTGTTTTCTAGATTTTATTTTCAGATCATTCATTGCACCAAGTATATTCAAATACAATTGCTTTTTGTTACTTGATGTACTTTGGTTCCAAAGTCAGTCTTAAAACTGGTAACAGAAACAGCTAGCTACAAGAAATACTATTTTTAAAAAATAGATTGTGCTAATGGAACAATAAATTATATCCCAAACAGTTGTTTTGCTGTATTCTGAGGGCTGAAATATCTCATTAAAAAGCAGCTGCATAATGTAAAGGTGTTTAAATATACCATATCCATCTGTAGATGGCTTTAATACACAGTACCCCCAGAATGTTGAATAGCATCATCTATTTCTGCATGTACTTAATTTTCTTGAGCAACAACAAATAACTCCTGGCATACTAATTCTTTTCTTTCAGTTCTCAACTCAGAACTTACTTCCTCAGAAGGCTTTTCCTGATTTGCCCACCAACGGTTGTCCTGTACTTAACTGGTAACACATCCTTGGTTTATTTCCTCTCATCTTTTACAATCCATAGTTATTTTATTTGTTTATTGGCTTCTTCCTCAGAGTAAAAGTTCATGAGAACAGAGACTTTCCCTACTCAGTATTCATTCACTACAGAATCCCCAGTGCCTGACACATAGTGGCTACATATAAAAAATTTTGATGTACAAGTGAATGGATTTTCCAACTACAAGAAACATATAGAGAACTACTAATCATGGCAAAGCAATAAACAAATGACACTGACATCACCCTTGTGTCTGCTTTTCATGGGGAGACTTCTATCAAGATTTGTAAGTTTTCCAGAAGATGTTTTGCAATTGTGTCTGGAGCAGCCAAGTGTGTTTAAAAAGAAATTGGGACTCTCTGGTTATCGCATCCTGAATCCTCATATTACTTGAGTCATTCATCACTGTGTGAAGTAATCTGGCAGCATTTCAGGGAGTAATAAAGAAAGGCCTCTGAAAGGAACCTCACGCTTCTGAATTCAAGGAGTAGAGAGATCCTTGGTGTTACGGTTTGCATCTAGGTGTCCCCCCAAAGGGACATCTAGTGTGTGACTGATTCCTAGTGCAATGCTTGGAGTAAGGGTGCTGGGATTAAGGGTGAGTGGTTGCTGGATCAGCTCACTGATTGAATTGGCACCACCATAATCCCAGCAGTCTGGATAGGATAAAAGGGCAGAAAGAGGCTTCTCTCTCTCTCTCTCTCTGCTCTCCTCCCTTTTCCTTTTGCTGTCTTCTGCTGTATAAACTCTTTCTCCACTATGACGACCCTACCAAGCCACCTCACCTTGGAGCCAGCCAATTATGCACTGAAATCTCTACGAACTGTGAATTAAATAAACCTTTCCTTTTTAACTCTGGGGTGTTGGGTATGTTGTCTCTGCAACAAGACAAAAGTAATTAAGATACTTGGTATAAATAGCAGAATATGGACTATGGCTGTGGAGTTGTTCACATCGCATAACTGAGCCAATGCTGAATTTAATTTAACATCTATATGTGTAATTTTACCTGAGAATCATCACTACCTAAGCCTTCTTTACCTTGAGCTTCCCCACTTTAGCCAGAACTAGTATTTCTTATTATTTAGTCAGCCATTTTTTATTTTTTAAAAAACTGCTTAAAAAATTCACTTCATGAGGAGTAGTGCACACCCAAAAGAACAGTAGAAATAAGAACATCACGCATCAGGAAAATTCACTGATTCACTAAATGCCTCAACCCCCACAGCACATTCAAAGTCTGGATTCAAAGTTGGTTTCCTACAAAAAGTGACCTGTTCATATTTATCGGGGAGCTAAAGAGTTGCTCTTCTGTAATTGAACTCTTGGACATGAGAATGGTGAAGTGTCTAGGTATACTTTGTGTCTGTCTTAGGAAGGTTAAAGAAGAATTTTTAAAATCTGCATATATGTAAATTCCAGTAATTCTAGGTGTCAGAATAACACC